ACACCAATCCACCACACACACACACACCAACCCACCACACACACACACCAACCCACCACACACACACACACACAAGCACCAACCCACGACACACACACGCACACAAACAACAACACACCACACACATAAACAACATCCCATCACACACAAACACCAACCAACCACACGCAAACATACATCCCAACCCACCACCGCATAGAAGCCCACACAGATCCCAACCCACTATACACAAACACACATATGTATCAACCCACAACATACACAAGCACACACACACACACAAACCAACCCACCCCACACACACAAACCAACCCACCACACACACACACAAACACCAACCCACACACACACACACACACACACACACCAACCCACCACATACACAAACAAACACCAACCCACCACACACACACACACAAACACAAACCCACCACACACACACACCAACTCCAACCCACCACACACACACACCAACCCACCACACACACACAAACACAAACCCACCACCCACACACCAACCCACCACACACACACACAAACACCAACCCCCACACACACACACACCAACCCACCACACACACACCAAACACCACACACACACACACAAACACAACCACCACACACAAACAAACACCAACCCACCACACACACAACCACCAACCCACCACACAAACACCAACCCACCACATACACAAACAAACACCAACCCACCACACACACACAACCACCAATCCACCACACACACACCAACACAAACACCAACCCACCACACACACAAACACCAACCCACCACACACACACACCAACCCACCACACACACACACCAACCCACCACACACACAAACACAAACCCACCACACACACACCAACTCCAACCCACCACACACACCCAAACCCACCACAAACACAAACCCACCACACACACAAACACCAACCCACCACACACACACCAACACAAACACCAATCCACCACACACACACACAAACACCAATCCACCACACACACACACCAACACAAACACCAATCCACCACACACACACACAAACACCAACCCACCACACACACACACCAACACAAACACCAATCCACCACACACACACACAGACACCAATCCACCACACACACACACACAAACACCAACCCACCCACACACACACACACAAACACCAACCCACCACACACACACACAAACCCACCACACACACACACCAACCCACCACACACACAAACACCAACCCACCACACACACACAAACACCAACCCACCACACACACACACCAACCCACCACACACACACACACCAACCCACCACACACACACACACACACCAACCCACCACACACACACACACACACCAGCCCACCACACACACAACACACCAACCCACCACACACACACACACCAACCCACCACACGCACACACCAACCCACCACACACACAAACACCAACCCACCACACACACAAACACCAACCCATCACACATACACATAAACAGCACCAACACACACACACACCTCAACCCACCACACGCACAAACACCAACGGACCACACACACTCAAACACCAACCCACCACACACACACACAAACACCAACCCACCACACACACACACCAACCCACCACACACACACACAAACACCAACCCACCACACACACACACACAACACCAACCCACCACACACACACACCAACCCACCACACACACAAACACCAACCCACCACACACACACACAAACACCAACCCACCACACACACACAAACACCAACCCACCACACACACACAAACACCATCCCACCACACACACACACAAACACCAACCCACCACACACACACACACACACAAGTACCAACCCACCACATGTACACACAAACACCAATCCACCGCGCGCACACAAACCAACCCACCACACACACACAAACCAACCCACCACACACACACACAAACTTCAACCCACCACACACACACACCAATCCACCACACACACACAAACACAAACACCAACCCACCACACACACACACAAACACCAACCCACCACACACACACACAAACACCAACCCACCACACACATACACCAACCCACCACACACACACCAACCCACCACATATACACCAACCCACCACACACACACAAATACCAACCTATCACACACACACACAAACACCAACCCACCACACACACACAAACACCAACCCACCACACACACACAAACACCAACCCACCACACACACACACAAACACCAACCCACCACACACACACAAACACCAACCCACCACACACACACAAATACCAACCCACCACATATACAAACAAACACCAATCCACCGCGCACACACACACACACCAACGCACCACACACGCACACACACACAAACACCAACCCACCACACACACACAAACAACAACGCACCACACACGCACACACAAACACCAACCCACCACACACACACACGAACATCAACCCATCACACACACACAAACACCAACTCACCACACACAAACACTAACCCACCACACACACAAACAACAACCCACCACACACGCACACACAAACACCAACCAACCACACGCAAACACACATCCCAACCCACCACCGTACAGAAGCCCACACAGATCCCAACCCACTGTACACAAACACACATATGCATCAACCCACTACATACACAAGCACACACACACACACACACAAACCAACCCACCACACACACACACACACACCAATCCACCACCACACACACAGATACACACACACCAAACCACCACACACACAAACATATCTACCCACACACTGATCCACCACACATGAGTGCTTTTCATTTAGATATTTCCTTATGTAATTGAGAACAATCGCAACAACAACAAGATTCCATTTATAGAGCGCCTTTCACGTCAGGAGGACGTCCCAAGGCGCTGCACAGTTGGATCAGGACCCGAACGGGGGGAAATGGTCAGGGTGAGGGGAGGGAAGGGAGGGAGCGAGGAGGGGGGTGAGGGTGAGGGGAGGGAACGGAGGGAGCGAGGAGGGGGGAAATGGTAAGGGTGAGGGGAGGGAAGGGAGAGAGCGAGGAGGGGTAGACAGTCGAGAGGGGAGCTGAAGGCTGAAGGTCAAAGAGAAAGGTCTTGAGACCGGCCTTGAAGGAGGAAAGGGAGGAGGCGGCGAAGGCACTGGGGGAAGGAGTTCCAGAGCCTCGGGGCTGGAGAAGGAATTTAATGCCAAACTCTGGGTGATTTCAGTGGCACTCTATCTAAGCCATGTCTCATTGATGGGTCAGACAGACTGGTCAACCCTCTGGCTCAGCTTGCTGCAGGCCAGACAGATGTCCTCAGGCATATACCTACCTCTGTGCAAGAAACAGATAGATACCCCGAGTTACTACCCGCCCTTGAGGGGGGGCACATTTCTTCATGTCTGTGCTCATTGAAAGTCTTTGAAAATCATTTAGAAAGGTTGAGTTGTTAGTTGAAGTCTGAACCTTCCGACCCCAACACACATGAAGGTTCTGTGCGTTTGAGAATCCACGTTACGTGAGGTGATGCAGCTTTGAGCATCGTGAGGCTGGCCTCTCCTGACTGCTCTGTGATCTCCCGACAGTGCATCACAGACGATTTCAGGAAGAAAGGCTTCAAGACGTCTCGGGATTTGCCGGACCTGGTTCTGGATTTCGTGAAGAAACACCCTGTGATGGCCGAGGACGTGTTGCCTGTGGGGAGGCGCCCCCTATTTGTGAGGAAGAATGTGAATTACACAAAGATTGCTGTGGACACGGTTACAGGAGTGGACAACATGCAGTACGATGTCCTGTTCATTGGCACAGGTGGGTCAGTAGCCAGTGGTCACAGATTCAAAATAATTGGCCAAGGAACCAGAGGGAAGACAAGGAGAAGTTTTTTTTTACCCAGTGAGTTGCTACGCTCTGGAATGCCCTGCCTGTGGTGGTGGAAGGGTGGTGGAACCAGATTTGATAGTAGCTTTCAAAAGGGAATTGGGAAGGTATTTGAAAAGGACAAATTGCAAGGTTATGGGTTAAGAGCGGGTGAATGGGACTAGTTGGTAGCTCATTCAAACAGCTGGCACAGACAAGATGGGCCGAATGGTCTCCTTCTGTTCTGTAAGATTCTATGATTCTATGAAATGTTGCACGGCTTTGTTTCGTAAAGTGTTTAAGTAAACTGGGCATGTTCACATTGGAAAAGACAAGGTTGAAAGGTGATATAACTTTTTTTAAATTCTAAAGTTGTCTATTGTTGTCCATGATAAGCCGTTTCATCTCGTCCAGAACAGTAGAGCCAGAGGATATGGCCTGTGCTTGAAAACTAATCTGCAGAAACACTATTTCAGTGAGCGAGTGGTAAATGTATGGGACAGGCTCCCTTGGGAGAGACGGTGGAAGCAGATTCTTTCAAGTGTTGATTCTTTCAAAAGCAAATGAGACAGATTTATTTTAGGAAATAATATCTGGGGATTCAGTATATAGTTTGGGATATGAGATGTGCAAGTGACGGTCAGGATGGTGTGAGGCGAACTGAATGGACCTTGATCTTTTTTCATCTTATGTTCGTATGTTTCAGAAGGCTTCTAAGGACCTAAGTGATACCTTTGCTGGGGGGGTGGGATACACTGAGCATTGCTCAAAATTGGTCGCTCATTTCACGGTTGGTTACCATACATTGCTGTGCTCAAATTGGTTGCCCACGTTCACACCCCAAAATACACAGTCACTACACTTAACATTAAAATCCTGCCAAGCGCTTTGAGACGTCTTGATGACGTGATAAGGTGCCATCTCAAATACAAGGGTTGTTCTTTTGTAGGCAAACATGTCAGCCAATTTGCATTGTCCAGCTGTGAAGTGAACAAATCCAGGGGGATTGTTAATAATAATATTATAATAATAATCCTTGCATTTGATATAATGCTTTTCACGTCGGGAGGACGTCCCAAAGTGCTTCACAGAACACACTGTAAAGTGAATTGACTGTATATTTGAGGGTGAACGCGGCAGCCAATTGCGCACAGCAATGTCCCACAAACAATCGTAGATTGAAAATGACCAATTTATTATTGTTTTTGGTTTTGGAGGATTATTATTAGGCTCTGTGTGGAGTAAGGAAACTTGCCCAAGGTTTCGCCCTCTGCCTGGAATTGAACTCAGGTCTCTCGCTTGCAAAGCGAGTGCTCTAACCACTGAGTTACAGGACTCCAAACCAGGATACTGGGAAAAAACTCCTCTTTTTGAGTAGCGCAGTGAGATCTAACATTTCCCAGGATTACAACCAGGATCGACTATGAGACTCGCATCTTATCTCAAGTATCCTTCAATGCTCGTTCATTACACAAAACTGTAAAATGGACGGGAGGATTTGGTTTAGAGCAATGTATCGTGACTTTGGCAACAGCACAGTGTCCCCAGGCAGAAGCTCTAACAGGTTAGATATAAAATCATAGACTGATTCACTATAATAATATCCATAATTGTAGAGTCCTGTAGCTCAGTGGTTAGAGCACTCGCTTTGCAAGTGGGAGACCTGGGTTCAGTTCCCGGCAGGGTGAAACCTTGGGCAAGTTTCCTTACTCCATATGCCTGACAATAATCCCTGAAAAAAAGAAAAAAATTGGTCATTTCAATCCACGACTTGTTTGTGGGACGCTGCTGTGCGCAATTGGCTGCCACATTTCGCCCACAAATATATGGTCAATTCACTCTACTGTCTATTCTGAGAAGCTCTTTGAGACGCTAGAAGACGTGAAAAGCGCTATATCAAATGCAAGGATTATTATTATTATAATTATATTGAAATTCCGCCTGAAAGGTGATATGTAAATGCAAATTGTTATTTTCTTTAAAACTGATTAAGAACAGGGTAAAGAGCATTTGCCTCATGTTATTGAGCCTTTCATCCTGAAGTTATAATAATGCCAAAATAATGTCACATTAGATCCTTCTTCCCCTTCATGTCCAACGTCTTAGGACGTCCTCCAGACGTGAAAGGCACTTTATAAATGTATTTTAATGATGATGTTGTTCATGTCATTGATATCTCCTTTCTCCTGAAGTTGACGGATGGCTGCATAAAATAGTGAAGGTTGGATCCCACATGCACGCTATAGAGGAAATACAGGTCTACAAAGAGCCCCAGCCAGTGGAGAGTGTGGTGATCTCCAGGACACAGGTAGAATCTTCGTACTCAAGCTATATACACTTCAGAGTCCTGTAGCATAGTGGTTAGAGCACTTGCCTCACAAGCAAGAGGACCCGAGTTCAATTCCTGGGCGGGGCAAAACCCTAGGCAAGTTTTGATACTCCACAGGCCTCTGTTTACCTAGTAGTAAGTTGGTACTTCATGCCCTGGCACCTTCCTACCTCTCTGACCTGCTTCCCCAACCCACTACCCGCTGCCTCCGCTCGACTGGCTCTGTCCACCTGCATGTCCCTTGTGCCCTCCATTCCACCAGCGTTGGCCGCACATTCAGCCACAATGCTGCTAAATTCTGGAACACTCTTTCTCTATCCTTTTTCCTTGGCCTCCTACCAGATCTTACCTGAAGACCTCCTTCTTCAACCATGTCTATGGTCACTTTTCCCTCCCCCTGGCTTGGCATCATGCTCTCAAGCTCTATGGACCGCTACCCTGTTTGAGAGGGCACTATATAAATGCAAGTTGTGGAAGGAGAGCCAACTTTCAGGACAGCAAGATCGAGGCTCTCCTGATTGGTTCGTGCCAGCACCTCCACACCTCAGAGCTGACAGCATCAGGATCCACATATGCACACTCCACCTCGCCAAGCCAGTCACGAAACTGGGCATCTTGTTCGACCCTCAACTGTTCTTTCTACCCCACATGCCTTCGTTACAAGCAGGCTCGACTATGCCAACGCCCTGTTTGTCGGCCTTCCAAACTCTTCCCTTCACAAGCTGCAGATCATCCATAACTCTGCAGCTCAAGTCCTCTCCTGCACCAGGCTAATAATCCTTGCATTTGATATAGCGCTTTTCACGTCGGGAGGACGTCCCAAAGCGCTTCACAGAACACACTGTAAAGTGAATTGACTGTATATTTGTGGGCGAACGCGGCAGCCAATTGCGCACAGCAATGTCCCACAAACAGTCGTAGATTGAAAATGACCAATTTATTATTGTTTTTGGTTTTGGAGGGATTATTATTAGGCTCTGTGTGGAGTAAGGAAACTTGCCCAAGGTTTCGCCCTGACTGGAATTGAACTCAGGTCTCTCACTTGCAAAGCGAGTGCTCTAACCACTGAGCTACAGGACTCCACAAATATGGAGGCTATGTAACCCCTTCACACCCACCCTCACCCGGCTCCACTGTCTCCCCATCCCCCAGAGGATCAAGTTTAAATTTCTCTTCCTCACCTTTAAGGCCCTCCATGGCCTTACCCCCGAGGCTAACCCCTCCGACCTGCTAAGTCCTTATCAACCTGTCTGCTCCCTCCGCTCATCAGGCCCACCCCACCATCAGTAGTCAAGCCTTCAGCCTCTATGCCCCACCCTCTGAAACTCCATCCCAACAGTTCTTTTCCAACGTGAAAGGCGCGTTATAAATGTAATTTTGTCTTTTGTATTATAGGAAGCCGGTTGTTAATCAATTGGCAGATCATTTTCTGGGGGTAATAATCCCTCCAATAAGAAAAAATGTGGTCACTCAATCCACATCTGTTTTTGGGACACTGCTGTGTGCAACTGGCTGCCGTGTTTCACTCACAAAATACGGTCAATTCACTTTACAATATACCCTGTGCAGTGTTTTGAGACGTCTCAACAACATGATAAAGTGCTATATCAAATTCAAGGATTATTATTATTATATAGTGACATCTCGAGTACTGACAGTGTGACATAAGGGAGCCGGCCCAGCCCGAGAGGTATTGAGGATGATCTCCAGTGTTTATAGAAATGAGCTATGAGCAGCAATTAAGACACGCTAAGGCTCTTCAGCCTTAAAAGAAGACATCTCAGAGCAGACCTTATAGAAGCAGAGCAGATTTTAAATGGGCTTGAAAAGGTAAATCCAGATCAACACTTCATGATGCACCAAGAGGATATAGGTTTAGAGTTGTAAAGAGCAATTTCAGGACAGACACCAGGAAGTATTTCTTTATCCAGAGGGTAATTAATGTCTGGAACAGGGTTGCCAGGCAGGTTGGTAGAGGCCAGGACACTGGGCTCATTTAAAAAAACACAGCTCAATGTGATAGTGGGAAGATGGAGGATGAGTATTCTGGAAAGATGAGATCAGATCTTCTTCATCCAAACTAATCTTGTGCCTGTTGTCATTGGGGTCCAGTTTGCGAGGTGTGTAAACCACGGGTGAATCCAAGTGCACAGAAGAATATATAGTATTATCCAAGTTGTGCAAGGCGTGTGTTAGTGTGTACAGAGGGCTCTATTACACAAGGTGTGTTAACCATGTGCAAAGGAGGGCAAGGGCAAGGGGTTCAGAGGCATTTGAAGGTAAGAACAAGATTCTATCAAACTGGCAATGAAACAATGCTGTGGAGGGTGTGCCGTGCGTGCCCTGTGCTCAATGATGATTTAACAAAACCTTTTGATTACAGAGAATGGTATATGTGGGCTCACAGAGTGCAGTGATCCAGCTTCCCCGGGCAAGCTGCAGCAAGTACACTCTGTGCCAGGACTGCATCCTGGCCCGGGACCCTGACTGTGGCTGGGACGGTGAAGCCTGCCGACAGATCACAGGGAACGAGAACAGGTATCTGTTTAGACACTGCAGCAAGCCTTTGCTGCGAGCAGCTACAGCAGAACTTCCATTGTATATAATTCCTTAGATATAATGCGGGTTTATTTATAACGGGCGTGCGGGGAACCCTGACATTTACTTACTCGAAAAATCCTAAAACACGTTCCGTCAATACTCTGAAATGCACATGTGGAGTGAATGAGTAGACGCTGAGCATGGATTGCATCTCAATTAGACAGTTAGTTGGGATTTTATGGAAGCTCCAACTAGCACATTATAACGGCACTCTACAGGGCGTCCACAAAGTCCTGTTACCCCCATGTCACTAAACAGTGATATGAGATTATGGAGGAGGTGAAACAACCTGTTACAGATACATTTCCCCTCCTCACTCCAACCAAGTTACAGAAGATGTGGCACTGAACACTGTGACCGATCATTATCTGCCACAGTTACCCAACCCACCCACCCAACTCGCCCACTTACCTACAGCTTAAACTCAGGAAAGGGCTAAGTACTGCATCTGCTGAAACTAAGGATGTGGTTGTAATTATTAATCGTAATTACGTTAATCTTTCTGTTTGATATATTAACTGGAATATCTAAATGTCTCAAAGTGCTTCACAGGCATTTGCTGTCAGGTGTAATAGCTGTTTTTTAGGCAAAACCCTGTGCTCAGTTTGCACACCGCAAGAGCCTTGAGGTTTGCAGCCTTGAGGTGAACAAATGAGCTGGGGACTGTCGGCCAGGACATCGAGGACCAACTCCCCTTTTCCAATCATTTTTTAAAGTCTGCCTGTGTAGGTAGATGGTACATCGGAAGGATTACGCCCCACACTCATCAACATTGGATTGGAATATCAGCCTAGACTGTGCGAGCTCAACCGCTCAATGTGGGGACTTGAACCAACTTGCCCCAGATAGTTGAAGGAGCATTGGGAAAAGAGAGGGAGTCTCTCTTAATATCAGTAAATAATAGTACTAGAGAAATTGATGGGACTAAAAAGTGATAAATCTCCTGGACCTGATGGCCTGCATCCTAAGGTTTTAAAAGAGGTGGCTACTGAGATAGTGGATGCTTTGTTTTTGATCTTCCAGAATTCCCTGCATTCTGGAACGGTTCCCGTTGATTGAAGGTCGCAAACGTAACACCACTATTTAAGAATGGTGGGAAAGAAAAAATGGGGAACTATTGACCAATTAGCCTGACATCGGTGATAAGGAAAATTCTAGAGTCTATAATTAGGGACGTCGTTGTGGGGCACTTAGGAAATCCTTATATGATTAGGCAGAGTCAACAAGGTTTTATGACAGGGAAATTGTGTTTAACAAATCTTTTAGTGTTTTTTTAAGATGTAATTAGCAGGTCAGATGGGGGGAACCAATGGATATAGTGTATTTGGATTTTCAGAAGGCATTCGACAAGGTGCCACATAAAAGGTTGTTACATAAGATTAGGGCCCATGGAATTAAGGGTAATATATTAGCATGGATCGAAGAGTGATTAACAGGCAGAAAATAGAGAGTAGGGATAAACGGGTCCTTCTCAGATTGGCAGATTGTGACTAGTGGAGTGACGCAAGGATCAGTGCTTGGGCCTCAACTGTTTACGGTCTTTATCAATCACTTAGATGAGGAAATAGAGCTTAATGTACTAAATTCGCGGACGATACAAAGCTAGGTGGGAAAGTAAGCTGTGAGGACACAAGGAGGATGCAAAGGGATATAGACAGGTTAAGTGAGTGGGCGAGAAGGTGGCAGATGGAGTATAATGTGGAGGAAGTGTGAAGGTGTTCACCTAGGTAGAAAAAATAGAAAAGCAGATTATTTTCTAGAGGGTGAGAGACTAGGTAGTGTTAGTATTCAGAGGGATTTAGGTGTCCTTGTACACCAGTCACAGAAAGTTAGTGTGCAGATGCAGTAAGCAATTAGGAAGGCTAATGGCATGTTAGCATTTATTGTATGGAGTACAAGAGTAGAGAAATCTTACTGCAATTGTACAAGGCCTTGGTGAGACCGCACCTGGAATATTGTGTGCAGTTTTGGCCTCCTCATCTAAGAAAGGATATACTCACCTTAGAAGGGGTGCCACTTAGGCTCACTAGGTTGGTTCCTGGGATGAGGGGATTGACCTATGAGGAGAGGTTGAGTAAATGAGGCCTATATTCTCTAGAATATAGAAGAATTAAAGGTGATCTTATAGAAACCTATAAGATTCTTAAGGGTCTTGACAGGGTAGATCTTGTGAGACTTTTTCCTCTGGTTGTAGAATCTAAAACTAAGAGTCAGCCTTTTAGAACTTGAGAAAACATTTCTTCACTCTAAATTTATGGAATTCTCCACCTCAGAAGGCTGTGGATGCTCAGTCATTGAACATATTCAAGACTGAGATCTATAGATTTTTAAAAACTAAAGGGATTAAGGGATATGGGGATAGGGCAGGTAAATGGAACTAGATTAGTAGATCAGCTATGATCTTATTAAATGGTGGGCAGGCTCGAGGCGCCGAATGGCCTACTCCTGCTCCTATTTCTTATGTTCTTATGTTCTCTCCTGCTGTCCTAGTCAACAATCCTCAGGATAAAAATTGGTAATTAATTTAATGGCTATTTGTGCAAATTGGCTGCTGCGTTCGCCTACAAAACACACAGTCACTACACTTAATACAAAGTCCTGTAGTATGGTGGTTAGAACACTCGCCTCACAAGCGAGAAGACCTGAGTTTGATTCTTGAGCAGGGAAAACCTTTAAGCAAGTTTCCTTACTCCACATGCCTGTTTACCTAGCAGTAAGTAGGATCCTGGTTGTTAGTCAATTGGCGGATCGTTTTCTGGGGAAAATAATCCCTTAAAAATAATAATAATAATAATTTGGTCACTTAATTGACAACTGTTTGTGAGACATACTATACATAATTGCCTGCCATGTTGCACCCACAAAATACACAGTCTCTCCACTTTACAGTATAGTCTGTGAAGCATTTTGAGTGTCTCACAACGTGACAAGGTGCTATATCAAATGCATTATATTAGAATTACTGTGCCGCTTTTTGACATGTTTTGACATCAGAGATAAAAGACTACTTATGTGGCTGATGATATGGTCCTCTGATCATGCCAACCTCTGATCCATTTCCCATTCCTCATGCTCATATGTTTTTGGTAACAGATCCCAGTTGACCCAGGACATTGTGAGTGGGAACAATGGATGTTTGACCAGCAGCGCGGATGGTATGTCACTGTTTACTTTAAATTTAATATGTGTGGAATCTTCGCCTCCAGCCAACTGAGCTACCAATAGAGCAAATGGAGATGTTTGGTTGGGGTTTTGATAGAATAATTAGGGAGAAACTATTTCCTCAGTCGGGTGGGTCGGTAACCAGAGTACACAGTGTTAAGATAATGGGCTTTTAACCAGAGGCAAATCTTTTTTACCCAGAGAGTTTTTACAGATGTAATGCATAGCCTGAAAGAGTAGTGGAAGCAGCTTGAACAGTAGATTTCAAAAGGGAATTGGATAGGTATTTGAAAGGAAAAATTTGCAAGAATATGGGGAGAGAGCAGGGAAGTGGGATTAATTTGGGCAGCTCTTTCAAAGAGCTGGCACAGGCACGTTGGGCCGAATGGCTTCCTTCTAGGCTGTAAGATTCTATGATTGTAAGAGAATAATTTTTAAACTCCTATCGGCGTGTTGGGAAGTGAGATGCCCTACCTACAGTGGTTGTTGAAGCAGAATCAAAGTTAGCTTTTAAAAGGGAATTGGATAAATATCTAAAAATAACGACAAAATTACATTTGTATAGCGCCTTTCACATTGGGAGGATGTCCCAAGGTGCTGGACAGACAGAGTTATGGATCTGAGCTGGGGGTAGGGGTCGGGGAGGGGGGCAGTAGGGAAAACAGGGAGATCAAAAGCAAAGTCGAAGAGGAGGGTCTTAAGGTGGGTCTTGAAGGTGATGAGGGAGGGGGCGAGATGGAGGGAATGCGGGATGGAGATCCAGAGGGTGGGGGCAGAGTGGTGGAAGGCCCGCCCACCAATAGTGGGGCGAGCAAGGCGGGGGACGTGAAGCATCCTGAAGCCCGCTGAGCAGAGGGAGCGAGCAGGATGGTAGGGGGTTAGGAGGTTGGAGAGGAAAAGGGGAGCAAGACCATGGAGGGTTTTGAAGGTGAGGACCAGGATCTTGAACTGTGTGAGGGGAAGCCAGTGGAGTCGGGTGAGGACGAGGGTGATAGGGTCATAGAGCCCGGTGCGGGAGAGGACACGGGCTGCAGAGCTTCTGGATGATCTGCAGCCTGTGGAGGGAGGAGTTGGGGAGGCCGACAGGTAGGGAGTTTGCATAGTCGAGCCTCGATGTAATGAAGGCGTGCGTGAGGGTTTCAGTGGCCTGTAGTGTGAGACATTGGCGGAGCCGAGCGACGTTGCGGAAGTGGTGAAGGCAGAGTGGGACATGCGGCAGATGTGTGGTAGAAAGGATAATTGAGTCAAACAAGACCCAAGGTTCGGGACTGGCTCAGTGAGGGGGAGTGAGCCCCATGGACGGTGATGCTGTCAGCACCTGAGGTGAGGAGGCGCTGACGGGAGCCAATCAGGAGCCTCGGTCTGGTTGACGTTCAACTGAAGAAAGTTATCTCTCATCCAGGACTCGATGTCTGACAGACATTCTGTCAGGACAGCAGTGGGTCCTGGAGTCCAGGGTGGAGGCAGAGAGAGAGTTGAGTGTCATTCGCATACATGTGGGAGTTGACCCCGTATCCGCGGATGATGTCACCAAGAGGGAGCATATAGATATTGAGGAGGAGGGGACCAAGGACAGAGCCCTGAGGAACGCCACGCGAGATGGTGCGGGGGCTGGAGGAGAAGCCTTTGTGGAGATGAAGTGGAGACGGTGTGAGAGGTACGATCTGAATCAGTGAAGGACAGAGCCGTGGAGGATGAGGTGAGAAGAGAGGCGGTGGATGAGGATGGAGTGGTCGACAGTGTCGAAAGCAGCAGAGAGGTCAAGGAGGATGAAGAGGCAGAGGGAGCCCTGGTTGCAGATGGACAGAATGTTTGTTACTTTGACCACGACTGTTTCTGTGCCATCGGCAGCACGGAAACCCGATTGGAGGGGATCGAGAAGGGAGTGGCGGGAAAGGAAGAAGCGAAGCTGAGAGGCAACAACCTGTTCCAGGACCTTGAAGAAGAAGGGGAGGTTGGAGATGGGGCGGTAGTTAGGGAGTAAAGAAGGGTCCAGGGAGGGTTTTTAAGGATAGGAGTGATGACAAAGAAGAAATATATGCATGTTTTCTGGGCGAATGACTTTGTGTTTTCTGGGTCTGTAAACTCACACCTTCCGCCACCATGTTAGCACAACGTACAACAAAATGGCCACCTTTTGGTTTGTCAGGTCGTCACTGATGTCACTTCCTGTGTGCTGAGTGCCAGCATGCTACTCGCAGGAAGTGCCACTGATGTCACATCCTGCATAGGTTTGTTGTAATCAAGAAGTGCTGCTGACTTCACTTCCTATCGTGAAGTAACTCAGGATATTGGTCATTTTCAATCTACGACTGTTTGTGGGACATTGCTGTGCGCAATTGGCTGCTGCGTTCGTCCACAAATATACAGTCAATTCACTTTACAGTGTGTTCTGTGAAGCGCTTTGGGACGTCCTCCCGACGTGAAAAGCGCTATATCAAATGCAAGGATTATTATTATTATTATTATTATATATATGGGTAACGAGCAGGAAGTGAGATCGTCGATGAACTGATGACCCGAAACGTGGACATTTTGTTTAGCCAGCTGGTTAGGGGGGAGCCAGGCACACCACAGTTCTTTTGTAGGAGTGGGTCATAGCAGATTGTGCTGTTAGAGAAACTATGCTCATCTGGGGGAGCATTATAATGGGGTCGCCCTGTGCCAGGGGCAGACAGAATTGCTGTCAGTCCTCACTCAGAGCTGAGAGCACAACATCAACAAAGAGGGAAAACCAGTGGATGTGGAAGAAGCTGCACTGCCAAAGCTTAGTAACTGGGTCACAAACCACAGAGGACATAATGAGCACTTCAGCATAATTCATCTTAATGCAAGAGACCTGAGCTATTAAAGCACCAGGTTGCAGTGCTCTTCTTCTCTTTAACCCGTTCTTTCCAGGGGTCTTGGCTCGAGCAGAACCATTGCTTGCAATGTTCCTGAAGGATGGAGAGCAAAATGAGTGTTTGTGGGTGGGACAATGCACCTTCGCCCTCTGGGACCTTTAAGATAAGGAAATGTGGGTAACTGAGTTGTAGTGCTTTATTCTGCATTGCATTTCATTTTCAGATTGGTTTTGAGCCTTATTAATATTCTTAGAAGCATAGAAACTTTCTGAATCCAATTGCATTAGCTATTCAACCCATCAGACCCTTTCCACTACTACAGTGGGGGCCCCTTAGTGAATGGGACTTGGGGGAGGGGAAATCCCAATTCGCCTTTTCATGAGGCCACAATAGCCAGTTTCACTGAGCATGTTCAGCCAGATTATTCTTATTTATTACTATTAGAGTGTCCAGGCTTCCATGGTAAGATCGCATGCAAGATCCTCACAGTTGTTTTCAAATCCATTCATGTCCTGACACCTCTCTGACCTGCTTATCCCCACAACCACAACTCACTGCCTCCACCTGACTGGCTCCTGCCTCATGCTTGTCCCTTGTGCCCTCTGTTCCACTATCAGTGACTGCGCTTTCAGCCACTACGCCCCCAAATTCTTTCTCTAACCTTCCCTTTCCTTCCCCATCTTCAGGTCGCGCCAGAAGACTGTCCTCTTTGACTGTGCCTATGGTCACCTCCTCCCTCCCCCAGCTCCACCACTGTCAAGCACTCTGGGACACTGTGAGGGGCTCTGTATAAACACAACTTTTTGTGCTGATTCTTAATTGTGCCTCTTCTCTGCTCCATTCAGTCCCTTCCCAAGTGAGGAACAAGAAAGTAACCAAGGGCTCCACCATCTTGCTGGAGTGTCAGTTCAGATCAAACCTTGCTGTCTCCAAGTGGCGATTCAACCGAGAGGACCTAGCCACCCGCGAGGCGGAACACTACTCACTGGAGCGACAGGCTTTGCTGATAAAGGCCGCACTGGTCAGCGACAGCGGGGAGTACAGCTGCTATGCCGAGGAGAATGGGCTGGAGTATTTGGTGGTTCTCTACATGGTCAGTGTGGTGGAAAGCTCTCAGCCTGAGGTCCCTCCGTCACACCTGGCTCAGATCTCCTCGGGCAGAGAGTTCCTGTACCTGACCATCATCGTCTTCCTGGGGTCAGTTGCCGTAGTAACATCCATCCTTGCTATCTACCTGGTCTGCTCCCCGTCCAAGAGAGGCAAGTACCAGGTGCAACTGTGCCGTCCGTCCCTCATCGAGCTGCAGAACGTATCCGGGAGTTGTGGGCCCAGGAGCGAGGGAGGGTCTGGCGAAGAGGACCACCAGGTGGGCTTCCTGAAGATCATCCCCGGCCAGGCCCCCAGCACCAACTCGCTCCACAACAACAGGACTGCCGACTTGGAGCTGCCCCCTCCCCCGCCCCCTCCCCCACTGCCCCCCGAAATGGTTGACACCCCCAACGGGCTCCCTGGACTTCCCCACGTACTGAGGAAGATGAACGGCAACAGCTACTTGCTCCTGAGGCAGGCCAGCAAGGGGCAGGCATCCCCCCATTACCACTCCTTCACTGAAGAGCTGAGCAGGAAGCTGGAGAAGAGGAAACACACTCAGTTGGGGGAGAAACCGGATGAGAGTTCGGTCTGAGCACAAAATGGGAGCCTTGTCCACTCCCAGCCAGACTCGGAAACGTATCTATCTACCTCTCTCTCTTTCTCTCTCTCTCTCACACATTGAGGAGTCCTGTAGCTCAGTGGTTAGAGCACTCGCTTTGCAAGTGAGAGACCTGAGTTCAATTCCAGGCAGAGGGCGAAACCTTGGGCAAGTTTCCTTACTCCACACAGAGCCTAATAATAATCCCTCCAAAACCCAAAACAATAATAAATTGGTCATTTTCAATCTACGACTGTTTGTGGGACATTGCTGTGTGCAATTGGCTGCCGCGTTCGCCCACAAAAATACAGTCAATTCACTTTACAGTATACTCTGTGAAGCGCTTTGGGACGTCTAGAAGACGTAAAAAGCGCTATATCAAATGCAAGGATTATTATTATTATTATTCTCTCAAACTCACTCACTCACTCACTCAGTATTAGTGGAATCGCTGCGTCATGGACAGCGGTGGTGGTGGGGGTTGAAGGAGATGGGGGGAGGAAGTGGGAAGTTTTGAGTAACATTGGAAAAAAAGATTCCTCAAGGACAAATTTTTTTGTACAGAAAAAAATTAAATCGTACTTAAGCAATGAAATTCCCCCTTCTCCCTCCACCTCAGACCCCCTACCCCCCACCTCTCCCCCACCTCACTCCCCTCCCACCTCACCCACCCTCTTCCCCCCTTCTCCTCCCTTAATCCCCCTATTCACTCAAGTCCCTCTTCCCCACCCCTTATACCCCTCCCCACCTCTCCTCCCCCTCTTGTCCCCTCACCCCCTTCTCCCCATCTCTTTATTCCGTCCCCTCTTCCCCCTCACCCCACTTCCCCTCCCCCCATCCCCGCCCTGGCACTCCCCTCCACCCCCCCACCATGTGCATTGCTCTTGTAAATAAACCATTTTAACAGTGAAATCATTTGTTAGTTTAATGGCAGTTCAAGACCTTATTACAGGAGCCCCCGAATTCATGAGGAGGTGGGCTTTGAAATGAGAAGACTTCTGGTGGTGATAGAGGTGGAGGGGCCATGAGGGCTGGAGGCCATGATTGACCTTTGTTGAGCAATGATTGATGACTCATCAGACCCTGACCTCTGGCCTCTGACTGATTCACGCCACTCAGCGGAGTGCTGGCGGAGAACACAGCGGAAAAGATGACTATGACGGTAAGTGCTGCCTCAGCCAGTTGTGGGATTGCCACATCTTCAGGGCAGAGGAGGCAATGGCATCGGGGCCCTGTGATACCGGCCTCACTAATCCCACAATCTCCAGCTCGAACCCCGGTTTCACCGGCTTTTGAATCTCCAAATTTTTAGTGACAAGAAAAAAAATACATCAACAAGGACATCGGTCCTTACCTGGTGCCGTCAGCTTCAGCTTCACTTCATCTGGTCTTCTTCATTGGGCACAGTCACTGTAACATCCTGTGAAGTGCTTTGACTGTGTCCAACCGGGGTTCGAACCACACACACCACCACCACAAGCACCTTTTAACACTAGGCCGACATTTAATGGCCAGTCCCTGCGTGTTTTCAGAAGCCGACCAGATGAAGTGAAGCTGAAGCTGACGGCACCAGGTAAGCAGGGCCGATGTCCTTGTTGTATTTTTTTTGGGAGGCCAAAATGAAAGAAGTGGTACTAAATGTGAGAAATATAAATATATAATGTATAAATAAAAGCTTGGTATGTCTCAAGTTTGCTGCCTGGACTGATATATGAAGACGTGTTGAGCCCAGCTCAGCTGGAAGCAGTTTTGTCTCAGAAGGTTGTAGGCTTAAACCCCTCATCAGGGATTAAAACTCCCAGTCTAAGGCTGACACTCCAGCACAGTGCTGGGGGGGTTGTTCAGGTGGATGTTAGAGATCCCATGGCACTATTCAAAAAGAGAAGGGCTTTCTCTCTCCTGGTGTCTAATCCCAACAATCCCCCAAATAAAATTGATCATTCCATCACTGTGTATGTGTGATGTGTGTGAATTGACTGCCACACTCACCTACAAAAGTACCCAGTTGTTACACTTTACAATGAATCCTGTGAAGCGCTTTGAGAATCCTACGTTGCAAAAAGCACTGGATTAAATGCAAGGATTATTTTTTTGATCGACAGCAGATGGCATTGAGGATTGAAGCCATGCTTATTTGGTAGGGTTTTGCTGGCACTAACAGGACAATTAATTGTTCAGCGTTTGAGCTGAAAGGATATTCCAGAGATTAGCACAAAGTATCATTTTTACTCACAATGCTTTGAAAGGCTCCAAATAATGGCAGGAAAATGGACTATATTCAGGGTGGTCCAATTTTATCCGCTCCCCTCTCCATTTCATCATGACCTACCCACTCTTGCAATAACCCGTAAATGTTATGTTTCTGGAAGGAAAACACATAAATATTGCTAAAATGGACATTTCTTAAATAGGGGCATCCGGCCCTCAACAACCAAAAGGTTGGATCCCACCCCACTGCACTACAATGTCCACCTCACTGCAGCAAGTATCAGTTTTTCAGTCTTGAGAGGACATGTCTCAAGAGAGGACCATGTAAAGGTGTATAATATTTTAAATAGTTTTTATATTCTGTGAAGCGCTTTGGGACGTCTAGAAGACGTGAAAAGCGCTATATCAAATGCAAGCATTATTATTATTTATTACTTATTTGCCCAGCTGGGTGTCTGACATGTGGAAACCCATCACCATTGCTTAAGAGACTCCAAACCAAACTGAGGTTTCCATGCATCCCACCAACACATGGAAAGCCCAGAGATAGATTGTTGGAATGGAATACGCACTCTCTCCCTGGAGTGATGCCCCCTGTTTACCTAATTCTGGAAAGTATTCGGCGCAGGTTGGCAAGAGCCAAGGCTTGGGGACCCAAGAGTGTGCGTTGGGGGAACTACTGGAGTCTAACCAGCTAAAACCACATAGCTTGCCATTAGCATAATCAGTCATAAAATCCATTATTGAGGAGTTTCCACTGAGATTGTGCTATTGTTTGATATATCACCAAATTTACAAGTTAAGCTGCCTGTTACAATGATGCAAATTATAAATGTCTTGTTGGCTCACATCGAGTTGAGATTCACACATCCAGACTTTGACCTCAGTCTAGGCTGCCACTCCTGGTGCTGTGTTAGGGGGAGTGCTGCCTTGTGTTAGGGGGACCTTATCTGAGGTTTGCCTGTTCAGGTTGATGTTAAATTCAAAAAGAGAAAGGAATTTCTCCTGGTGTCTTGGCTGTACCATATGTGAGGATTATTATCAAATGCAAATCAAGTGTAAATGCAAGGATTATTATGATTATTATAAATACAATACAAATTTACATTTATATAGCGCCTTTCAAGTTGGGAGGATGTGAAAGTGTTTTTTATATACTTATTAGGAGCAATATGCAATATGTTGGTTCCCGACTCCAATTCACACTCGTTTTCAAATGACTTCAGGCCCTGGCACCTTCCTACCTCTTGGACCTGCTTACTCCCCCGAACCACTACCTGCTTCCTCCACTCAACTGGCTTTGGCCTCCTGCTTGTCCCTCGCTCCCTCCATTCCACCTTCACCTTCGGTGGCTGCGGTTTCAGCCACTATGCCCTGAAACTCTGGAACACTCTTCCTCTATCCATCCACCTTGCCCCTTCCTATGCCATCTTCAGGTCGCGCCTGAGACCTTTCTCATCGACTGTGCCTGCGGTCACCGCCACCTGGCTTGGTGTCGTGCTCTACCACTGTTGAGCGCTCAAGAACACTACTCTGTGTGAGGGACTCTATATAAAAGTTGTTGTTCTGATTGAATTGAAATGACACCTGGATCCAGTTTTACATTATTAATGTATTTCATTTCAGAGTGTCTAGAATATTTTCTATACCATTTTCTATAAGTTTCTATACCATTGGGTTGCTGTTACTATTACCTCCTGCTAAATCAGCTCTCCAAACGCTTCCGGTTTGCATGTGAGAGACCTGGGTTTGATTCCTGGCAGGGCGAAACCTTGGGCAAGTTTCCTTACTCCACACACGCGCCTGATAATAATCCCTCAAGAAAAAAAACAATAATAAATTGGTCGCTTCAATCCATGACTGTTTGTGGGACACTGCTGTGCGCAATTGGCTGCTGCGTTTCGCCCACAAATATACAGTCAATTCACTTTACAGCATATTCTGTGAAACGCTTTGAGATGTCTAGAAGATTTTATCCTAGTTGAGTGCTGCTGGATTAAGGAACAAAATGAAATATGTTCAGAGATGGTGTGCTCACAGGCTCAATATTCACAAGGCTTTCTCCCTTGATGAATGAAGGATTAAAACGTCCAGCCAGGGCACTGGAAAGATACAGAAATAGGTTCAGTCTTTAGTGGGAACAGAATATCTAGTTAATTGTCAATGATAATCCTTTCATTCCACATGTCTATACAGCAACAACAACAACTTGCATTTATATGCTGCCTAGAAGGAGGGACCTATTAAAACTTCATCAACCTGTCTGCTCCCTCCGCTCTTCAAGCATTGACCTGCTCCACTATCGCGGTCGGACCTTCAGTCTTTCTGCCCTCTGGAAGTCCATCCATCCATTTGGAGCCTCTTCACCTCGGCCCCTTGCTGACCTCCTTCAAGACCCATCTCAAGACTTTTCGATCAACTCAAGAATTCCTTTTCGATCGTGCCTTCAAGGCCTCCTCCCACCCCACTTGCCCTCCACCCCTCTCTGATCCCAACCTGCAGCTTGGGTGCAAAACCCCTAATTGTCCAGCGCCTTGGGACATCCTCCAAAATGTGAAAGGCACTGTGTGCAATCTGTTGTTGTTAGGGGTTTCGAATTGCAAAGCTTGCCATGATGGTGGCACGGGGGGATAGGGCCGGGCAGAATGACCTGCTCAGACTGTGTGTGTTACAGACAAAGGCTATGTTGCTCCCTGAGGTGCTCAAAGTAAAGGTTTTGGGAATGCGGAACTCATCGTCATAAAACTGTTGTTGGAACATCAGGGCTTTTAAAAGTGAAGTGGGCAGATGCTAGAAAAAGAGCAATTTTCAAGGGTGTGTGTAATTGTGGGGAATTGTAGCAATTTCCTCAATTCAGTCTTGCTTTAAAATTCGTCGTCGGAGCCGTA